CCAGAGGAGCCCTTTCTGTCACAGTCGGGGGCAGGAGGCGGGCAGCGCAGTGCATTGTGGGCCTGTAGTGCCAGGTGTTTATCTTTGTAGCAGGCAAACCCTTTGCTGAGCGGGTCAAGGAATGGCTTTGCAGAGCATCGGGGTAGATGCCCCAAATTATTAAAGTGAAAACCTAGGGCAGTTGCCAAAGGGAGGGCGGGGTCGGGGGCGCACTTGCCTTTATCATCCCAGTCAGCCCCATGTCCTCTTTCAGTCTAAACAAAGGACTCAGTACAGTGAAGGACCCAGGGGGTGGGGTGGGGGGGAAACCTGTTTCTCCTTTGGCGTCTCCTGCCTGTGCTCTCTCAGCTCCTTCACTACTCCGTATTCCATCCTGCTCAGAGTCCTGCTGTGGGTTTGCTCGTCTCCTGCTGCTGCTGGGATTTCTTGGAGCCTTTCGCGCTGCACTTGGCTCCTCGCTTTCATTTCTTTGCCAAGCCAGTGCTGCTGGCTATAGCGCCAAGAGCACACTGGGCCCTTGACAGACCCGTACGATCCATCCCCTCCCCCAGTTGCTCAGTCCCGACACCCCAATCCCCTTTCCTGTGCTTCAAAAGCCTCCTGCTCCTCTCCACAGGGTCCTCCAATGCTCTCCGTCTGGCTCCATGGCCCCAAATACTTCTCGCCATGGCTCCGAAGGGGTTGGGAGGTCTGACAAAGTCACCTTCTGCCAGGGTTGAGGGACCTAGAGGCCCGTTGGCAAGCGGGTGTGTGGCAGGCAGGGAGCGGAGGCCCGAGGGGGAGCGGGCATGCAGGCGGCAGGCAGAGAGCAGAGGCCATGCTCCCAGTGGCAGGGTGACTGGCAGAGCACTGCTGTTCAGGAGGCCAGGCAGAACGGTAAGAGAAAAGGGGAGCCAGCCAGGCCAGCACTAGGGGCTGGCTCTCGGGGTTCCAGTGAAAATGGGAGCAATCCGTGTTATAAACATGGGTCAGGAGGCCGGGGTCACCCACTCCAGCTAGACGTTCCCCAGCCTTTGGAGACCATCAACGTCTGGCTAGGCTTTGTAGCCCTGTAACAGGCCAGTTTCCTTAGCCCACACCCGCTGGGGGCAGGAAGTGCATTTTGCACAGCATTCTGAGTCTCCTTACAGCCCAGCCCACCCTACCCCTTGGCCACATCCAGGCCGTGTCTTGGCAGGTTGTTTGGGAAGCTGAAACCACAGAGAAGATGAAAATGCCTCAAGAGGGTGAGGGCAGGGCGAGGATCCGCTGAGCCCTGGATCTCCCTGTAGTGGGAACACCCCTTTCATCCCATTCTCCCACCTTGTGTCCCCTGGTGGGGCTGTGCATGAATCACACCCTCCCCTTCCCTCCCCTCCCACATCCTCGGTGCCCTACTGCAAGTGACCAGAGAGAATGCCGAAACCCGAGTTATTTGCTATCCTTTATTATTCAGAAGAGAGGCCGCCTCCACAAAACGAGGGGCCAGGTCTCCAAAAATATGGTTCTTCAAAGAAAATGCTCCTACCTCGTAAATATCCGAGATGATGAAATCACGCTGGCTTAGTAGTTAGTAGTTGGGTTATTTGTCTCCCTTTATCATTTTTTTTGGTGTGTTTTCTCTGTTTCTATTATAAAATTACGGCAACGCCATGAGTTTAACATCTCTTCAATCCAAACACAATAGAAATGAGGCAGCAGCGGTGTCTAGCCCAGCTGCTGCCGTTGCTGCTAGCAAAGAAGTCTACAGTTTAGTCATTATGTATTTTCGTTTTCCTGTATTTTACACACCAGTTCGATGGTTATCAGCACATGAAGAAGAGCTACCCGAACAAGATACAGCAAAGAGCTCTAGAGTTAAAAAGGAACACGCAACTCCTGCAAATCCAGCCATACAAAAGAAACCACTTCTGGGGAAGGGAAGGGAAGGGAAGCGGGTTAGCCCCGGCTGCTAACCTAGTGGGAACATGGGCAGAGAGGCCGTTTGGTCAATAACGAAAATAGTACTTTGCATGTCTCTAGCACCTTTCATCGAAGGATCTCAAAGTGCTTTACTCAGAGGCTGGATTTGTCTCCTCTTACTCGTGTTAAGTAAGCAACTTGTTCCACAAAAAATGCCACTGAAGTCAATAGGGCTTCTTGTGACATTGGGCAACGACGCCATGCGACTATGGGGATCCGAAGCTGGTTCTTGTTGATTAAGCTTCACAACCTACCCCCCAGAAAGGTAGGGAAGTATTATTAGCCCCATTTGACAAGTGTGGAAACTGAGGCACGGCGAGGTTCAGTGACTCGGCCAAAGTCACACAGTGAGTCAATGGCAAAGTCAGGGATAGAGCCCAGGAGTCCTGGCTTCATGTCCCCTCTGCACTAATCATTAGACATGCTGCCTCCCAATTAGTTGAATGGCAAATATTGCCCCTCCACGCCACCGCCCTGCTTATTATCAGCCAGTCAGTGCCATTACTGTTAGCCACCGGCACAAAACCCGTTCAGCTCATCTTCCCCTCCTCTGCCAGGTTTATAAAGTCTCTTTTATTACAAAAAAAAAAGAGAATATGAAAAAAATACAAATATTCTTAAAATGATTATTTCTGTCAAGATTGTCCAGCACTTTAAAGAGGGACTTTCATTGCAGGCAAAACTTTAGTTTGATGCATAAATACATTCCTTTTGTGGCTTTACATCTCCACATGACATTAGCTGTGTACATTTGTCACATGGCTGCCAATGCAGGAATGGGCACCTGGACTTCTGGGATGTTAGCTACTCCTGCCCCTTTGCTAGCCCGGATCTCCCAGCACTTCATGAATTCAGCCTGGGCTGGAAGTAGGAATATCCCTGTTGTACCAAAGAAGAAACAGAGTCCTGTTTAGGTGCAGCAGTTTGCCTGAGGCCACATAGGGATGGTCAAAACTGAATCAGATTCACTGAGAATTTTGGGAGCTGTGGAGCCAAATCCCAGCTTGGAGGGGGTGTGGAAGGCCGCCAGGGAGCAGGAGTTCAGAGGGCAGCTCCATTTCACAGACACAAAGGACCCCAGGGCAGGCCTCACCTTAACATCTCCACAAGTGACAAGTTTCCTCTTTCCCAAGGGAAATCGGTTGGGGTTGTACACGTCGACCTTCTGTTTCTTAGGGTGACCAGACAGCAAGTGAGAAAAATCGGGATAGGGGTTGGGGGGTAATAGCAGCCTATATAAGAAAAAGACCCAAAAATCGGGACTGTCCCTATAAAATCGGGACTTCTGGTCACCCTACTGTTTCTTCCACTGTCCAGCAAGAGCCAC